AATTTGAAGTGAATTTGTGATTCGAGAATGAAGCTGCTTTCTTTAACCATTGAACAGCAGTTGCTCTGAACGGCTGCAGCTTCTCTCATGGGCTTCCAGTTGTTCAAGCGTTTGAGTCGTCCTTTGTTTCTGTATCTCTTAGAACATTGCATGAATGGCGAACAGATGTGCTTGTACAGTGAACAAGAGCAATTTATCATTAAAAAAACAGCTTTAAGAAATGAACGCAATATCAAATCTGGAGAACCATAAACAAACCAAAAGTGCCCTTGAATCACTGTCAGATAATGCTGAGTTTCCCAAATGGGGCTTCACAAGTTGTTTATAATTTGTAAAATCAAATGCACAATTTAGCAAAGTAAAGTTGCAATATAGCTTATAGCATGAAAGTTTAATACAGTTGCACGCCTAATGCGATGAGTTTAATGTGCATTTTGGAAACACAACATGTGCTTGGTTGACTTTATTTACACATTTGCATAATTTTCTGTGGAAGTTTACAGAATTTTACCAGTTATTCCACAAAATAAACGCTTAAGGATTTGAAATGTTAGAAGCTCAAGGGTTTGAGCGTTTGAAAGTGGCGAATTTAAGAGATAAAGTTTGGTAACTTCTAGTGTAGCATGAAATATTTGACAGCATAAATATATTTATCTTCATTTTAACCATTGAAATAGAAATAATACAAAAAGTATCAATATGCAGTCATATGCATAAACAATTTTAAAATAAAACAGAAAATAATAAACATTTTATATCAGAGAACCGTGAGCATGAATCTGTTGTAAATTATTGAAATATAAATTCTAAAAAAAAAAAAATCTTTGTTCAAATTTTGTTTGGCAAGTTTGACTTAAAAAACAAAGTTTGTGAAACCCTTCTGCCACGCTTCACTCTGGACTCGAGGCTTCTCCTGCTGATCGTCCTCAAACTCTTGACATGCATTATGTGCCGTTCAAGATGAAACGCACCATTAAACACCCTCACAATGACTTTCCCCTAAAAGCTGTTTCCAGAGGGCACGTCCTGGCTTTAGTGCCATGCTTTTCCAGGAATCAGGAACTGTTCGTCTTAAGTGGGCTGAAAAGGGAACAAAAGAATCCAAGAAGACTGACTTTGCATGGAGACGGAGGGAATTTGTGGATGCTGCAGACTGGAAAATCAATTCATAAATGTGACCCTGGAGCACAAAAGCAGTCATAAGCAGCACAGGTATATTTGTAGCAATAGCCAACAATACATTGTATGGGTGAAAATTATCAGTTTTTCTTTTATGCCAAAAATCATTAAGATATTAAGTAAAGATCATGTTCCATGAAGATATTTTGTAAATTCCCTACAGTAAATATATATATAAACTTCATTTTTGATTTGTAATATGCATTGCTAAGAACTTCATTTGGACAGCTTTAAAGGCGATTTTCTCAATATTTAGATTTTTTTTATTTGCACCCTCAGATTCCAGATTTTCAAATAAAATTGATCCTTATGACTGGTTTTGTGGTCCATGGTCACAAATGATACCCAACAGTTATTTTTCTTTAGATATAAATGTTGTTTTATCGCGCTTCAGGTAATGAAATCCTCCACAAAACGGCCCCAGACCATCTCTGCTGTCACTGCAGACTCCGAGTGTGTTAGTGGTCAGCGTGTGGACGTGAGTCTCTGTGTGTTTAGCTGAGGCTTTAGGTCGGGCCTCTTCATTAAAGCAACAAGGCCGCTCTCTGTGTGGAGAGCCTGAACTGGCCCCGGGCCCCAGAGTCAAACAACATGGGAGCAGCTGTCTAAAGAGCAGGCCGGTCTGTCCTTTCAGACGGACACAGACGCGGCTTTATATCGCGCTGCTATTATTGGACTGCCGTGCTGTAGGAGAAAAACACTAAGATATGAGAGCTCTTTACTGTTTCCAGCTGCTTGGCCTCACGTTTGAAATAAGAAACACGGCTGATATGAGAATCTCCCCGTTAGAGGTCAGCGATATTGCTTTCTGCAGATGCTGATGTCAAAGTTAAAGATAAAGCCAATTTCCAATTAATAGGTCAATTGTTTTTGTTCTGCTCATATATTGTATTATCTTGCTGATGTGTGTATGTATGAAGCAAATGTTTCCATATAACACATATGACCAGTAATTCTTAAACATAATACCATCAGCGATCACTTAACATTAACCTAGTAACCTAGTATTATTATAATTTTTTTTTTTTTTTTGGGTGGTAAAAGTATTTGTAAGTATTTAAAATAATCAGTATTAACAGAAAAACTATTAGGTAACACTTTATTCGATAGTCCACTTTAGACATTCTGTTAACAGTAAGTAACTTTGCAACTACATGTCAACTAGCAGTTAGTAGAGTATTAGTAGACTGTCTGCTTAATATCTGCTAACACTTTCTTTGTCAACTTATTCTACTAACCCTAAACCTACCCTAACAGTCTACTCTGAGAGTTAGTAGACATGTAGATGCAAATTAATGAGAATTAGTTGACATGTAGTTACTTATAGTTAGTAGAATGTCTAAAGTGGACTATCGAAATAAAGTGTAACCAACTATTATTATTATTATTATTATTATTATTAGTGATGCACTGAAATAAAAATTATGAATGCACTTGGCCGAAAGCCAAAACTTATTTGATAGATATTTGTATAATAGTATTGGTATTGTTGCAACATTTTTATCAAACTAAAAGTATATTTTATTTAATAACCAAGTAATTAATCAAATTTAAAAATTAAAAAAAAAATTATGTAAACATTTTAATAACGAAGAATTGCAAAAAGGTATGCACATCCAAAAGACCCAAAAATGTTTTTGTAGCTATAATTTTCAGTGTGCTGATAGTTTAGTTTAGTTTAGTTTAGTTTAGTTTTAGTTTTAGTTTAGTTTAGTTTTCTTTTAGTTTATTTTAGTTTTTATTTTTTTTAGTTCAGTTTAGGTTTAGATTTAGTTTTAGTTTACGTTTAGTTTAATTTTAGTTTATGTTTAGTTTTAAGTTTAGTTTAGTTTTGTTAAGTTTTATTTGTTTTGTTTTTTTAGTTTGGTTTAGTTTTTTTTTTAGTTCAGTTTAGGTTTAGTTTTAGTTTAGTTTAAGTTTAGTTTAGTTTTGTTAAGTTTTATTTTAGTTTTGTTTATTTTTTTAGTTCAGTTTAGGTTTAGTTTTAGTTTAGTTTAAGTTTAGTTTAGTTTTGTTAAGTTTTATTTTAGTTTTGTTTATTTTTTTAGTTCAGTTTAGGTTTAGTTTTAGTTTAGTTTAAGTTTAGTTTAGTTTTGTTAAGTTTTATTTTAGTTTTGTTTATTTTTTTAGTTCAGTTTAGGTTTAGTTTTAGTTTAGTTTAAGTTTAGTTTAGTTTTGTTACGTTTTATTTTAGTTTTGTTTATTTTTTTAGTTCAGTTTAGATTTAGTTTTAGTTTACGTTTAGTTTAAGTTTAGTTTAATTTGAGTTTATGTTTAGTTTTAAGTTTAGTTTAGTTTTGTTAAGTTTTATTAGTTTTTTTTAGTTTAGTTTATTTTATTTTATTTTATTTTTTTTTAGTTTAGGTTTAGTTTAGTTTTAAGTTTAGTTTATTTTTTTTGTAGTTCAGTTTAGGTTTAGTTTTAGTTTAGTTTACGTTTAGTTTAGTTTAGTTTAGTTTAGTTTAGTTCAGTTTTTTTTTTTTTAGTTTAGTTTCATTTTTTTAGTTCAGTTTAGGTTTAGTTTTAGTTTAGTTTACGTTTAGTTTAGTTTAGTTTAGTTTAGTTTAGTTCAGTTTTTTTTTTTTTAGTTTAGTTTCATTTTTTTAGTTCAGTTTAGGTTTAGTTTTAGTTTAGTTTACGTTTAGTTTAGTTTAGTTTTACGTTTCGTAACAGAATTATATTTCCACTCCAATTTATTGTTGAAATAAATAAATCTGTCTACTCGCCTCAGATTAAAAGTAACTGGCATGAACAAAATCGTGCTCTGTTAGCACATTTACCCCGACCTACTCAGTCATCTCTGACACAGTAAAAGTTTGTCAAAGTGGTTTTGTATGAAAGCTTGATTTGCGAAGCATCTCCTGTCAGAAGTCGTTCGCGTTTTGAAGGTGCTGTGAGGTAATTGTTGGCTTTTAAAGCTCTTGTTTTCCATGAAAGCAGCTCTTGTGTGTTGGAGTGGAGTGTTATTACTGTATTAGCGCGGGTGTGGTGGGAGGACTGGGAACGGGCCGCTGGGTCTGATGGTAATACAACCCGCCTCTGCTAAAAATAGAAGTGGAAGGAAAAGCCTGGATGTCTGGTTTGCTGTGCTAATCACAGGGCAAGGTTAACTGGGCAAACCTGCAGTGGAAAAATGTATGTGCACAGATCGTTGCGTAGTTTGCTGCGATGCACGAGGTGTCCGTATGTGCTTACATAACACAGAAACTTGTACTAGGCCCCCTCAGAAATAATGGACCATCTTCACACATACATATGCAATGATTTTTTAAAGAATGTATTTATTTTTGGACATTTCAGTGTTGAGATTTTATAAAGAAATGTTTTTAATTTATATAATATTTGATTATTTTTATTTTATTTAATGCACATATATATATATATATATATATACACACATACAGTGCTGGGTAGATTACTTGCAAATTGTAGTCCGTTAATGTACACAAAATTGTAGTTAGTTAGTTTCAGTTAATGTAGGTAATGTATTCCAATTGCGTTTAGATTTCTTTTGACCCATCTCGTTTACCCTGTATTGAAATAAAATACAAACATAAAAAATACAGAGAAAATACCTTTCATTCTTTATCAACAACATTATGTGCATTAAACATCACATTACATCAGGGTTTTCCATTCTGGGGTGGAGAAAAAAAAAAAAAAGAAGAATTAGTTTGAATCAGTAAAGTATGAATAATTTACTGTTACTGTGTCGATAATATGTAATCATGTAATCCATAAAAAGTAACTGTAATCTGATTATGAGCATTTTTAAATGCAATATATTCTAATTACAAGTACTTAACTTTTGGAATCTGAAGCCCAATGGAAAGAAGCCGCCCCCCGAGGAGAAGAAGCATTACCTGGATGCAGAACACACCAAAGTAAGAGTCGTCGACTTCGACCTCAAGGAGCTGGTGGTTTTACCGAGAGAGATCGACCTGAACGAATGGCTCGCTTGCAGCAGTGAGTGACTCGCATCACCTCATATAGAATTAACCCTGCAATAGAAATTAAATTCGCAATGCAGTTGTTGATGCTCTTTTGGTAGAAGATCACATCTGAAGCCAAGGATCATGTCCTGAAATGCTGTTTAATTATTTAGTTGCTTTTTTAAAAAAGTTTTTGGGCCATAGCAATCATAGAAATGCAAAAAAAAAAAAAAAAGGTCCCCAATTTTAGGTATAATTTTCCCACGTTGCGGTATGTTGGTTGTTTTTAATCTGGCAACGGCCGACCCTTGACCACAACCGCGGCTGACCGTCTGCGGTTGTGTTGTGTCTAGTTACTAGTCGTGTTTTGAAAACATGATTTCACCTCTGTGTTATATAACCGCATGATAAATCAGCTCCAGAGCCACGAATCACACCATTGTTTGCATTCCCCTCCATTTTATCTTGAAAGAAAACATGTGGGAAAAAAAACACAAAGTATGGCTTAATTTAGGAAACTTTAATACACTTTCAAATTCCACAAGCACTTATTAAACCAAAATCACAGCCTTTTAATGGTTAATCATTTCTCTGGATCAGTTCTTGTTGAGTAGATTGTTTCATTTACATAGAATATATTTAAGATATATATGTAATATATTTCACCAAAGCTGTATTTATTTCATCAAAAACACTGTTATATTATTACAATTTCAAACAGCTGTGTTCTATGTGAATATCTGTTAAACTGTAATGTATTTCTGTGATGCAGCGCTGAATTTTCAGCATCATTACTCCAGTCTTCAGTGTCACATGATCTTCAGAAATCATTCTAATATGCTGATTTGCTGCTCAAGAAACATTTCTGATGTTGAAAACAGTTGTTGATATATTACCACAGTACTTTTACATGATAAATTATAGGTAGCTTACATAATATATATATAGACACAATAATAGCTAATGTTCATAAATGATAATTAAAATACTGTTATATGTAATCTTATTAAATGTGCATATTTGCATCAATTTTAAAAAATGTAAAACAAATGAAAAAGGTGTAAAGATTTGTGCCGATGTTTAGAAAAATGGATATTACACATAGTATAAGTTAAGGTCACCTGATCATTGCTAATGCGTATTTAGGGCTTAGTTTTTATAGAATGACTTTTATAGGAATGCTGTGTTTTATCGTTCCTTAATCGTTGCATCTCTGTGTGATTCTCTAGCCACCACGTTCTTCAATCTCATCAACCTGCAGTACAGCACGATCTCTGAGTTCTGCACGGGAGACACGTGTCCGGCCATGACCGCCTGCAACACGTGAGTTATCCATTATTAAGCCGAGCGGAAACTAGACTCCCAGGGGTCGCGACCCAGGGGCCGAGGTCACAACCTGCACTCCAGCTCGACCTCGGGGAGAGATGTGACCGTACAAGAACACGCGTCTCATTTTTAATTCAATATAAAATAGTTTAATATTATATACTGTATAGATTAGGGCTGCACAATTAATCTAATTTCTAATCGCGATTACAATTACGGATGCCACAATTACGTAATCGTGCAAAGTGGCAATTAATCGTTCAAAGTCCACTTATGTTATTCTGCACGCTTGATATATGTTTTTTCTCTCTACATGTTATCTTAAGGGTTTTTCCATTGATTTAGTTTTAGTATAACACTATAATACCATTCATATTTTTACTTTTTTTATAATTTAAAGAAGAAACCAATCCGATGTATAGTTGATATTTGAGGCTTAATACTATAGAAAAGCACTGAAGGTTTTTCAGTTAGAGTGTTTTCAGCTTGTTTATTTTCATATCAAAATACGGCATGCAGTTGCATCAAACAATGGTATAAACATCATTCAATGTAAATTGTGATAATCGTAATTAATAATCGCAATTGCAATTTCAAGGGAATAATCGACAGTTATGATTTTTGTCATAATCGTGCAGCCGTAATATAATATAAAAAAAAAAAAACTTTTAGACTTGCACTCTATTCATTTACTAACTAAAAACTGTTTACTTTAAAAAAAAAAAATTAAAAAAAAACACACTAGCTTCTCTAATCTTTTTGTATCTATCTATTTGTTTTCTTTGTATTTATTATGCAATTAACAAAAGCAAAAAAAGGCCTCTAACACTAGCTTGCTCTATTCTTTTCTGTTTTCTTTTTATTTATTATAAACATAATCCGTTATGTCTCAAGAGAATGTTTGGGGAAAAACATCGGATGTGCAACATTATATGAGATCCGTGCAGTACAGTATGTTTTAATATAGGCCGTCTGTCTCATTAATGTTAGTCAAAAAATAAAAGAAAAAAATCACTGCTTTTGATTAAACTGCTTTTGTAGTGATAATGTATTTGTGATGAACACACTGAAGTGATTTTTACCTTTGATTATTTGTTGTTCTTACTTGAATGCTTTTGTTTAGATGTAAAATGAAAAAAGTAATGCATTAGGCCAATTTCCTTTTTTATATATTTGTTCTACTGTTGTTCTTGTTTTTGTGCATCCGTTCTTATTTTTAATAACAAAGATACAAATTAAAAACGGCTGTATTGCGATTATTAATATAGTAATTAATGTTAAGGAAGGAAGTGGAACATTGAAACAATGCAGTGTTGCTTTGGAACCTTCAGAAAACTTCAACTTGATTTTTCTCAGAAAACTGACTTTGTCGAATTCAAACAGCGTCCGATTCCAACGGATCATAGATCATTTTTAAGGGAGAGAGTGAAAATAAAAATAACTCATTTTTGAAAATGTGCTCACTGTGACTCGTTTTGCCAGCACAGGTCACAAATGGTTTCCTGTAGTGTGTTTTGGGACATTATTCCATTAGGATGTATTGGTTTTAACAAGCCACCAACAGAAGGTGAACAATTACCAGCAGAGACCCACAGCCACCATTACAGTTTCCATTAAAACCAATACAAGTCCTGTTATAACCAGTAAAACCATTACAAATTCTGTGATGGTTTCTATTGTTTTTTGGATTGGATATTTGTGTTAGGGGAACAGTTATGATGCAGAAGTCTGTGTGTTTCTAAGCAAAAATCACCTGGATTCTGACATTGTCTCAATCAAATATCTGTCTCTCAGGACGTACTTCTGGTATGATGAGAAAGGGAAGAAGACGAAATGCACAGCACCGCAGTATGTGGATTTCGTCATGAGTTCAGTTCAGAAGCTGGTGACCGATGAGGACATCTTTCCCACCAAATACGGTGAGTGAGTCTCTAGCGCCACCTGCTGATGCATGTGCATCTCTATATTGCACATGTAAATATAGTCTTAAATAATAATAGATGTCACTTCTGTTGTGTGCTTATTTGAAAGCAAATGACCAATTTTAGTAGAAAACTAATAAAGACTCTCACAATGGATGTGGAAATAAATTATTAGCAACATTCTGTACATTTAAACAGTAACACTTCACCATAAGGTCCCATTAGTTAACTACTTAACTAATTAGTTCATATAAATTAACAATCAATTTGTTCCAGTATTTATTAATTTCTGTTAACATAGTCAATACAAAATATTAGGGCTGAGCGATATGACCTAATATCAAAATCTCGATTAATTGAACATATTACCTCGATTACGATTATTTAACAATTATTTTATTATTATTTTTTATTGACGAGGTGGATTTTTTTTTTCTAATGAAAGAGTGCGTATCTTATCTTTGTGATTTTAAAATAATTGAAGGAAACACAAACTATTTATGGTTATTTATGGTTATATATTGAATATTTTGAACATCCGAAATCAAAAAGAACACATTGCTTGCAATGGAAACATTTTATGATGTTACTTTTCAGTTTTAATGTAAAAAGCAAGTTTCCTAAAAAAAATAAATAAATAATAAATAACTTGCAATAGTCGCCGAATACTCACACGGTGGTATGTTTTTAAGGGAAGAGTGTTAACAGGATTAAAAAAATGTAATAATTGACTTTAGAAACTTGTGTCGGTTCGAGGTTCTGAATTTCGGTTTCGATTACTTTTCGATTAATCGTCCAGCCCTACAAAATATAGATTTATAGGTCCATTAAATAATATTAACAGCTTTAAGATTTTTCCGTAAAAGTTGATACTTAATGACATTAGCAGAATGTTTTAAAAGTATTTTTCATTATGAAAAATGGAACCAGTTTTATATTTTATGAATCTTAATTAAAACAGAGAAACGTGCATTTTCTGTAAAGCCACTTTGAAATGATATGTATTATGAAAAGTGCAATGCAAATAAATGTGAATTAAATTGAATGAACATATGTAGGGTTCCTGTGGTCTTGGGATATTCTTGTTATTCTTAGTAAATAATCTTAGAATAGAATTAGTCTTATAACTTGAAATTATACAAATAATAATATTTATTGGGGTCAGCAAGTATGCATTCATTTGATCAAAAGTGACAGTAAAGACGTTTATAATATTACAAAAGATTTGTATTTCAAATAAACAATCCCATCCTCCCTCTACTTATATGGGACAGACTTGTGTTGCATATTAGCACGTTAACCACTGTAGAGGAGAGCCGAGGTGAATCAGGCGGCCATTTTGGCTCCAGGGCCTGGGTTTCACGCGTTCTCCCTCGAGAATGACAAGGACATTCGCGTTGTCTGCTGTTGATTCTGAACGTCCCGAGTTCGGAGGACGGCTTGTAATCATGTCTAGCCTCATTCTGAAAAGACTATTTGTGAATGGAAAAGAATGTACACTTAGTCTCTACGTGTCGATTGCAAAGATTATTGTCTTCGAGCGACTGAGAGGGCGAGAAAAAGAGCGACGGATGTTTTAGTTCTCCCTTCATCACTGTTCAGAGAGTTTGTGTCGCCACGAGAAGATCAGACTTTTCCTTTTATTTAATTTATTTCTCGGTTTTCCTTTTCGTTTCGGATTTAGTTGACGTTTTTCAGGGCTCCTCGGCTCTGGCTTTTGTTTTATGTGTTTTAATAATACTTTAAGTTAAAAGCGATTTAATATTTTAAGCTCTGCAAATTATAGCCTAATAAAATATTTAAAAGTCACAAACGATTGTGTGTGGTGTCTTTTTTTTTTTTTCTTTTTCATCTGTGAAATCAAGAAGTGTCAAGTCACAAATATTGCACTTTTAATGCGTTTTGATTATCTGAAGGTGCTGTAAGTGATTTTAGTTGTCATGATAACCCCGCCCACAATACACATGTCAGCCAATCAGGTTACGGAAGTAAAAATCCCATAGTGGAAGTTATTTTGAATAATAATTTATCAATCTTTAAAGACAGCTACTGTGTGCTACAAGGTGTGCTTTTGTTAAAGCCTTATTTTTAAATAATTGTAATATTTTTAACAGCAGAATTGCTGGTGGGAAAAACTGCATTACCCGTGATTCTGCAAAGAAATCTCCGCCAATCAGAGAACAGAAACGGGCAAATCATGCCAAAGGAGCTCCGCCCACTCACATGAAGCACTGCGAATGATGCAATTCATTCTCGCTATGAGCTCAAACTATTTATGTGAGTGCATAATGTGCATATTTTGCATTCTATGTGAAATATTTTCTATGCACATCTAATCGACATCTTTGAATCAATTGTTTTATATCTCCATCTTTTTTTTTTTTTTAATATATAACTGCTTCATCTTTGATTGTAGTTCTTTCTCTCATTAAAGCCTGCTTGTCTTTTTGTCTGATATTCTCTTGCTTCATCTCAGTGTTTGTAATGTTGTGATTCTCCTCGTAGCTGGCTGGTTCAGTTCATGTTTTACAACTCTAAAACCAAGACTTTTTTTTTTTTAAATCCCTATGGGAAACACAAAATACACAAAACCAGCATAAAGATTGCTATGGCAAAGATTCGATGATGGAGAAAATCCTGAGAAGTGACACCCATGGTGTTGTTGTTGGACAGGTAAGGGAATTATTAAAGAGAATTATTAATTATTGTGTAAACCACTTTCTAAAATGCACTAGTATCAGTGCAATTTGCATGAAACTCCGAGTCGATCATGCTAAATCGTGATGATAGATGGCAGTACAGAGTCAAACACCACTGTGGTATCGGTATGTAAAGAACTGTGAACCTTTAAAAAAATAATAAAAAATAAAAAAATTCACTTGCAGCACAAATTCTGATGTTTTTTACAACAGAGCCTCACTAAAGATCTCTAATAGGCTATTGTGGAATTCAGCATTTTATTAGTTTTATTAGTTTAGTTTAATTTATGAATTGTACAAATATTACACAAAGCATATACAGCCATACACATCTGAATTTTGCATGATTCTGCCTCCATCCATCCGTCTTTATTTGTCCGCTCGCACAAATGCAGAGAAAACGCTGTCCTTCTGCTCCAGCAGGACGTCCGGTTCATTGTATTCTAAGATAGCGCCGTGTTTCATCACGATCACAACGTCTGAGCCCAGGATGGTGTGAACGCGATGCTGTCGACACAAAACACATCAGCCATCACAGTGAGCCTCACCCTTTAACACTATAGAAGCTTGATTCTGCCGCAGAATAAAACCAAGGTCATTGTGGCTTTTTATCTCACAATTCTGGGAAACAAAGCAGAGTTGTGAGAAATAAACTCAGAGTTGTGAATAAAGTCAGAATTGGAAAAAGAAAAGAAAAAAACACTAACCTTTAGACTTTTGTTCTCAGAATTGTGAGAAAAGCCAATTATGAGATATGAACTGAATTTCAAGGAAAAATGTCTGAATTTATGTCTGAACTCAATTTATGAGGAAGAATAATTATTATATAAACTCAGAATTATGATATAAACTCTGCATTGAAGAAAGTCAGAATTATGATATAAACTCAGCATTGAGGAAAGTCAGAATTATGATATGAACTCAGAATTGAAGAAAGTCAGAATTATGATATAAGCTCAGAATTATGATATAAACTCTGCATTGAGGAAAGTCAGAATTATGATAT